GCACCTGTGGACTTGATGCTACTACTAATCCCCTAATCTTATTCGAACGGTTGAAGTGTTTGAACCCGTGCAGGTGTGGGGTCTTTGCAATGATGGTACATGCAAGTACCTTTCCTTTCGCTGTAGTTATTCGAAGTAATGGAAATACTTATTAATGATAATTACTAAGTGTGGCTATATGCCGGGGACGATTACAGTTGCTTACCCAGTAAAAAAACAGTTGAAAGTTATGGCCCTATCGGCAAATAGATGGTCCTAGCGTGGGAGCATCTCCACCATTTTCCCTGCCATGGAAGTCTACTTTCACATATTTAATATAGACTTCCCATAGTGTTGTGTACCTCTGTCTTAATGGAGTTGATGTTGGGATTTCGGAGGCCTGTGTTATGCATTTCCAGGTTACGACCAGTGATTAAAGACTCATCAACTCTGTACTGTAAATATCTAGCCTTTCAAATTCTTTGAAAATGTAGATAATAGGTGATGATAAATCAGAAATTTCTGGTTAAACTTTTTAAATTCTGGTATTTTTATTTCAGGAATCTAAGTCAGATAAACGGAAGAGGAAGAAGAAAACTGTAAGTTCATAAATAATTGTTGATGTAAATAAACCTGAATAGTTATATTGTATGTTTTGCAGAAATATGTAATATGAGGAAAATTAATAATATGTGACAGGTTGAAAGTGATGAAGACTACACTGCAGAAGATGAAGTGGAAGAGCCAGCCACTTCAAAGAAAAAGAAAAAGAAGAAGAAGAAGCGGAAGAAGAAGTCTGGAAAAGGTTTTAGTGATAATCCCTGGCAGTCAACATCTGGCTCTTCAAGGTAATGTAAAAACTACAGATGCAAATCTTTGGATTACTACCAAGTTTAATTTACAGCATGTATAAATTAAAAAGTAATAAATTGGCCTGTTATGAAATGATGGTGTATGTTTGTGTAACTTGAACTGTTACTGCTTAACAGTGGTTAAGTTTTTCTTTAAGATTCGTTTAAAAACAAAACTTGTCTTTTCCTTACTTAAGTAATATGTCCTGGTAGGTCTCAGTAAAGCTTAAAACAAAAATGCAATTAAGTGATTTTGATGTGGAGTTCGTGGCAAGAATGACAACTGTTCCTTGTTCAAATTAAAACGGAAATACATAACGTGTTGTTAAATTGTTTAATATTGTAGAGCAAACTGTAGAACTAGTAATGAAATTCAGAAGTTCCTCATGAGATATCAGGTGTCAGCCTAAAGGTTGGAAACTAATTTTAAGTCCCCCTTATATTGCCATGAGGCTAATAGATGTAACACAGCAGGAGTTGGTGATGCTGGCTCATACTGTTTGTAATAATTTTTCTTGGAAATGCTAAGGAACCAATTTTATATAAATATTCTGACAAATTTATTCATCTTTCAGAATCTTTATTCAGATTTATTAGTAAATTTCTCTGAATAAAGTGTTACCTTGTTAATNAAAAAAATACACAATATTGGAGCGGAGAATGGTGAATGTGAGGCACCGTTGGGTTATACGAATGCTTCAAGGCCTTCCTTCTACTAAACCAACTGCCTCCATTACCGAGATACAGGGCGCTCATATTATAAGGTAAGGTTATAAAAACCATCTTTTAAGATCATTTTAGTGAAAGTTTCATGCTTCAAGGCGTACCATTCACTGCTCAAATACTAAAAAACCTGCTTCCATTGAAGATATAAAGGGCGCTCATATTATAAGGTAAGGTTATAAAACCACCTTTTAAGATCATTTTAGTGAAAGTTTCATGTTCCTATCTCATAGAATTTAAGAACAATGATGAATAAATCATTTTCGAGCAAAATTTAAATGGCCGGCTGAATATATTACCGCAGGAGACGCAGCCGCGGAATTTAAATTACCGCGTCAAAGGGTTAATAGATACCATTTTCTTTAATTGTGTTGCTTGTGTGAAAGATGCAGAAAAATCTACATATATTGCAGCTGCAGAAGTGACTTCTGTTGTTTCTAATGGTTACTTACATTACCTGTCAAATTTGGTGGGGATAATATTTTTTTCTTTTTTCCTATATCCATTTCATATTTTTATCTATTCTTTATATTTCTCTTATTTCATTTCTGTCTCTTGTCCATCCTATCATTTACTTCCTCCTTTCTTCCTCTCTCTCCTTCATGTTAAAACACCTGCATCATCTCAATTCTTCCATACCTTCTCTAACCGCTCTTTCCTTACATTGGTGCCACTTTCCTTTTCTTACCATCCTTTTGGCCTCTTGGTTGCTGGTTGCAGCTGCTCCTCTAGCTGTTCCCTCTCACCTGTTGGTACGCCGAGTTTGCAGGTTGCTGCTGCGTCCTTCTTATCCAGTTCTGCTTCCCTTTTTTGTTGTTGTGGATAACTGTTTGCGGGGTATGGGTTACCTGGGTGCTGGGCGCCAGTAAGCTTACTGTAAAGGCTTACATTTTAGGAAAAAGGGGGGATGAACTGGAAACTACAGGTGATGGGTACCGCATTCGCACTAGAGTGATGAGATTCTGTCTCAGGGTGCATACGGGCCTCGCGTCAGCGTGAAAGATAAGAGTGTTTATAGCTAGGCACTACCTCACACTGTTTAATTAGCAGTTCTTGATATACATGTAACAGCACTTGTCCTTAATCCCTTAAAACACCTTGAAATCGCTCAAACGTCGGCGACCGGATCCCTGGCTAGTTATTTAGCAACTGCTTCTTTTAGCACAACACATAGGAGTAACACTTTCGCTTAAACTTTTAAGACAAAGTAAGATTCACATTAAATTTTGCAGGGTTATTCAGGGATTGTTCCCATAACACACTTAAACGTAATTCTGTTTTAACTTTGACTTTTAAACCCAACTGCCAGTGACACTAATTTTTAGACTGTACACTTGGAAAGTTGTTAAGACACTGCCCCAGCAGACTGACTCTGCTTTGAAGCCAGAAATCTTCATGGCTTCAACTCCGCCTCCAAGTTACTACCCTAATTTCGGCTGATTGGAACAATTCGAATTTGAGGAGTTAACCATAATTGTCACTGCTCCAGTCACCTAGCTTTAATTTGGGACTTTGGACCTTAAAGTCCTAACGTCGTTTTTGACAGCTGCTTGAAAAATTATACAAGTAGCATGGGTTGCTGGCCTTCCCACTTTTGACTTACAGAGTTCAAAATCTGTCAAGTGTAACTTACCAAAGGATCCCGCTAGTCAACTTTTGAACTGAATTTCCTGGAAAACTCAGCGGGGTGCTTCCTGCCTGGTCTTTGTAGCAGTGAAGCAGGCCCTATTCTTGAAACCAAGAATCGGGCCAAGTCACCCTTGAATGTTCCTTACTATATCCTGTGCTTAATTCTTTGACTGGCACAAAGGGTATTTAAATTCCACCCCTGTCCTGGCAGGCCCTTTAAACCTTATGTCGCTAAAATGCATGTGCTTACTTTTTTCTAAACAACTTCAACAAAAACTGGTTTTTAAAAACGAAATTTTCAGGAACTAATAAAAAGACAATATTTTATGCAAAAAATGCCTTTCCATACCTCTTTAGTAGTTTTTCTTCATGTGATAAACATTGAAACATGAAAGTTTGCAGAGAGCCACACCACAGCTTGCACACATGACACTTGTTTCTTTTCTAATCTTGTGCTTAGCACACACACGACACTTTCTCATGGAACCATTCTTCTTATTGTTACTGGGAGGAACATGGAGCATTTTGTGAATTTTCAGGCCACCCTCTAGACGATTTGCTGGGTCTTTCACTGGTGGTCTTTTCAAGATCGCGGGCTGAGGCGTGACTGCACTCGAATCTGACGCAATAGATTCGTCATCCACTTCATTCCTTGACTGTTCTCCCTCTCCACACTGTTTGTTTTGTTCTGTCATTTTTTCTACACAGTCCAATATAAAATCTTTGAATTTGTAATTTCTCTTCTTGTATTTTTCTGTTGTTGTGTACTTTTTTAATAGAATGAAACTATTCAACGCTGCCATTTGCAGCAAGAAAAACACCAGTTTCTTTGTCCACTTTACAGTTTTGCGAGAACAGGGATAGTAATGGAGCATTTGATCAGCCCTGTCAACCCCTCTCATATGTTTATTGTAGTCCCCAATTACCTCGGGTCTGCATATTTTTTCTCCTTTGCGATTCGTTTTTGCAGATTCCACGATTTTTGCTGTGTGAAGAGTGGAGATAAGTTTGACGTCTCTTTTATCTCTCCACACCTGTATGAGAACCTGCCCCTTCCTAGAAAACACAGATTCCNTTTATAGGTCTTGATTTTCCGCAATAAATTTCAAAATTCCAAATATATCCACTTGTCGATTCACAAACAAGATAAGCCTTTATACCGTACTTATCAGGTTTATCAGGCATATATACTCGGAAGATAAGACGTCCTTTCCAAGCGATCATTCCTTCATCTATTGCAATTTCCTTTTCAGGGATATATGTGTTCCTAAATTTTCCCACTAATGAATATGTAATTGGCCTAACTTTATACAGGCGATCTTCACAGTCAGCTGGTCGTGCATCATTGTCAGCAAAATGAAGAAATTTTGAAATCTGTTGGAACTGCCACAAAGACATCTTTTGTCCATACTATGGAGTGTGAAATAGGGGCCTAGTGGACCAATATTCTTCAATTTCAGGGCGCATGTCGATTCCTGTCATGAACACAATTCCTAAGTATGTCCAGATTTCATCTGGTGTGACATATTTGTAATTGTGTTCTCGAGAGTGAGGAGCTAACTCATGTGTGTTGAAGTGCTGTTGAGCATAGTGATTGGTTTCAGTTGTGATCTGATTTACTAAGTCGTCATCCAGAAAAATTTTAATCCAGGAAAAGGGGTGCATTTTATGTGTTATATCAATTTTGATCCCAGAACTACTAGTAAATGGAACTATTGTTGGTACAATGTCTCCGTATGTCCATGAGATGGGCGTGTCAGGCACCGCACTTGTGGTAGGTAAATGTTTATGATTACTGTCTTGTGGATCATTGTCTGTCACTGTATTATTGTCACTATCAACTTCATCTAATTCAGGAATCATTATTTCATCGCCACTGTCATCATCAGAACAAATCTCATTCACAACACTTTCTAGCTGGTCTGTAGGAACATGCCGACACTTGCTGCGAGAAGCCATGGTGAAACCGAATGAATGTGAAATATTTTCTGACCTTTTCCTTCTTGGAGGGTTCTGACAGTAATATAGACCCTCACAAAGTTTACAAGGGTTCTTTACAACCACGCACAAGAACTATCATATATATGTCTTTGGTTGATGAGTGCCAAGAGAGCAAAGAAGGGAAGAGATTGTCAAAGCGCTAAAACACGCCAATGCCAAGGAACGGCTGGCATCGCCCGGGCGTTAAAACACGCCCGTGCCAGTCAAAGAGTTAATTACTCTAAAAAGATATATTGATTAAAAATAAAGCTAGTGGTGTCAGTGGTACGGCTACACTTCATCTCCACAGTTCTCCCATATTCCTTTTCTGTCTCAGTTATATGTTCACCCTCTTGCCATTTGTCTTCCTTACCTAGCAATGTCAGCAGATAATTTGGATTTTCCCCCAAACCCTGGTAACAGTAGGAGATAATTGGCGGTTTTTCCTGTGCCATAGCAACAGAAGGAAATACTTTGACTTTTCCCCCATATTAAAATGGCAGAAGATAGTTTGCATTTTCCTGCATATCCTAACACCTGTGAAAGATAGTGTGAGTTTTCTCCACCATCCTGGTAAACGCAGAAGATAGTTTGAGTTTTCTCTGGTATCCTAGTAATAATCCTGTTGTCATGATCTTAATGCCTTTCTTATGGAAGAAATTGTTGACTCGGACTCATACCCATGTATATAGCAGTAAAGTTATCAGTTTTTGTGGATTTGTCTCTTGAAGAGGAATTGTCTTTTGCCTTTACCAGTTTTTTCCTATCATGTGGTGCTTGGGAGATACAGTGGGACAGTGGACTGTAATTATTACAGTTTTGTTGGTATATCACTGAATTTTAACACAATATCAGGTTCAGTATTTTGTAATAAATTTATGACCCTTGTGTTAATGGCTAAGGAAGAAACTATGCTACAGGGCATGATTGATAGACTAATTGAAATTGGAAGGTGCTATGGCATGGAAATGAATGTGGANGAAATGTGGTGTTGGAGAAGGATGGAGAAGATCAGTTGGACCGATTATGTGAGAAATGAAGAAGTGTTAATTAGAGTCAGTGAGCAGAGGAATATCCTACACGAAATAAGAAAACGGAAGGCTAATTGGATTGGTCATGTTTTACGCAGAAACTGCCGTCTAAAAGAAGTTATCGAAGGAAAGATAGAGGGGCGGATAGAAGTGACAAGAAGACGTAAGAAGATGCTGGATGACCTTGGGGACAGACGAGGATACTGTCATTTGAAGGAGAAAGCTCTAGATCACATTAAATGGAGGAATTGTTTTGGAAGAGACTGTGGACCTGTCGTCTTGACAGATTACTGATGATGATGATTTTAAATCCTTTGTTTTTGTATGTATGCTTAGTAGGGTTTCCTTTAATAAAGTACACCCCTGAAGATGGCCACATTGGACTGAAACATGTCGAGGTTTTAACAACTTGTAATCAACTTAAGGAAATAAACTAAATGTATGAGGGGTGTTCAAGTTCTAAGGTGTCTGATTTTTTCTCAGGACTGGGAGCAGATAGATACATGCGGTTTAGTTTAAAATACGTGTGCACTCTTTGTGAATGCGTGACAGAGATGGCAGCACTGTACGGCACACAGAACTCTAGTGGTGGTGGTGGGAGTGAGGAGTGTTTTTGATACCTAAAATGGCAACGTTTTCGTTACAAGAACAGCAAGTAATCATTCGTTTTCTCCACTTACATGGTGCAACACCCATTGAAATTCATCACCAGTTGAGTGAGGCATGTGGTGATGGTGTCATGAATGTGAAAAATGTGCATTCATGGGTGCAACATTTCAAAGAAGTCCGACGTCATGTGAGAACGAACCAAAACAATCTCGGCCTCGCACCAGCCGGTCTGACAACGTGGTCGAGCGAGTTGAGAAAGTTGTTTTGGAGGATCGCTGATTGAGTGTGGAAAACATTGCCTCCAAAGTTGGCATTTCTGTGGGATCTGTGCACACAATCCTGCATGAAGACCTGCGAATGCGGAAAGTCCTCCAAGTGGGTGCCACGAATGCTGGCGGACGACCACGAGGCTGCGCGCATGGCGATTTGCCAGATGATGTTGAGACGTGATGAAGGCATGAATGGGACTTTCTTTTCATCAGTTGTGACAATGGATGAGACAGGATGCCGTTTTTCAATCCTGAAACGAAGCGCCAGTCAGCTCAATGGAAGCACACAGACTCACCGCCACCAAAAAAATTTCGGGTAAGCGCCAGTGCTGAAAAAATGGTGGCCATGTTTTGGGATAGCGATGGCATAATCCTTACTCATTGCGTTCCAAAGGGCACTATGGTGACAGGTGCATCCTACCAAGATGTTTTGAAGAACAAGCTCCTTCCAGCACTGCGAGAAAAACGGCCGGAAATGGCTGCACATGTGCTCTTTCACCAGGACAATGCACCAGCGCATCTGGCATACACGACGCAGCAGTTTCTTCGTGAAAACAACCTTGAAGTGGTTTCTCATGCTCCCTACTCACCTGACCTGGCCCCTAGCGATTTTTGGCTTTTCCCAACGATGAAAGACACTCTCCGTGGTCGCACATTCACCAGTGATGCCGCTATTGCATCAGTGATGTTCCAGTGGTCAAAACAAACTCCTACAGAAGCGTTTGCAGCGGCCATGGAATCATGGCGTCGACATTGTGAAAAATGTGTACGGCTGCAGGGAGATTACATTGAAAAGTGACAGAAGTTTCAAATTTTTTGTATGATTATTGTGTGAGAAAAAAATCGGAGACCTTAGAACTTGAACGCACCACGTACTTAAATGGTAACTTAACGTTTTGTTTATTACTACAGATAGTGTATCACAAAAATTAGCCCTGTTGAAGTACTATGTATTTGTGTTTCTGTAGTTCATCGTTGGAAGAAGAGGATGAACAGGAGCAGACGGAGGAGGAAGACGAGAGTAACATAGTGTTCAAATCAGACCACGAATTCTCTCCGGAATCTGATTTAGAAAATGAAGATGTTGAAGTACAGCCCACACGCAGGGCTAGAACTGCACAGAAAGGTAAACTTATTTCCTGGTGCTATGAAAGCTTCAGTTTCATTACTGCTTCAATAATAATTCTTCAGATATGCCCTCTTCACAGCCATTTTCCTAGACATTTGTGCTCTTATTGATCCCCTTTCCTAAGCTTCCTAATGGTCTTTTATTTAGGTTTCTCAGTAAAGTTGTTTGTTTAATGTTTTCCTTATGTATTGCACAGGAGAGTAACAGGTAAAAATTAAGTTGTCTGTGAACTTAATTAAGCTGCTCACCATGAAGACATATGGGGGAGATGAAGTGCAGCTTCACATGTTCTTTACTTTGACACTAACAGAGTAAGTGATCAGCTTCACTTCTGGGCCACTTATGCCAAGAGAAAGAGGTCCCCTACAATAAACTATTGGGTAGGAGGCTGGGTGGACCTCAGAGTCAGCCTGTACATTATGGAGAAAGGGGATATATATTCTCTTGCTGGCAGTTGAACCCCAGTCTTCCAACCTGCGGTCTAGTGACCACACTCAATAAGTTATTCCAGCTCCCTTTTCTAGCCCACTTTCTTATTTTGAAAAGATAAGTAGGTTTATGAGATCACCTTGCCCCCTGTGTGTCTTTATGTGTATCCCCCCTATCTTTCCTAAGCAGTGTCTCAGTAAACACATGCCTACAGCAATGAATACACATGTTCTGTGTTGTATCAGATACTCAGTATGTAGTGAAAGGAAGGTAGGTGATTAGTAGGGACTGGATTTTAATGCAAATGCATATTTCTTTCTTGCAACCAGAAAGTATGCTCGTTTGGCTATACTTGTATGTATGAATTACTTCATTTCTTAAATTTTGGACATGATTTGATGGTGCATATAAATGCATATTTTGCCTGTTTTATGAATAAGCATCATATTTTCGAAGATCTCTATTTATACTGCATATTTCCCTTTTAAAATGTTTTAATATGTTTTAATTTTATGTTTTCAATTATGGTCATGTGTACACAATTTTTCTTTTCGGTATTAGAATATGTTATATTTTAGCGTCCTGTTGCACTGATTTATGTCCATGATTTATTCTAACCGTCTTACAGTGCATACATTTATTCACCTTACTCTTCTCTCTTGCACTACATGTTTCAGCACAAAAGTGCCATCTTCAGGTGCTTTTCGATGTACGTCAAACTACTTCATTGCATGCCCTGCTGTCTTCATACTAAAATAACTAAAATATATATTCGTCGTATATATTGGTAAATTTTAAATATTAAAAATATTAAAACTGTTCAGGATTTATCATCCTTATGTCGTATCTCAATATGCGAGTCACACCTATCTTCTTCTATCGGAGTACTCTTCCTACTTTCGTGTGTGTATCTGTAACGTGAAATTGTTATTATTTATACCGCTTTCCAAATTTTATTTATTGTGGTATTATAATGTTTAATACTCACTGTGCTTTGTGTTGTGTCTTGCTCCTGTGACTGCGTGTGTTATACTGCTGGGCCTGCTGGGTGTGTGTGTGCTGTCTTCGTTTTGATTGAGTTATGATGTTGTGGGGGTATATGTGGTGGGGGTAGGTGGTGGGGTGGTGTTATGTTGTTCTGTGTAGATAGTGTATAATTCGTGATATATTGGGTTATATATTTCTTTATTTATATTGTTCATATGTGTGTTTTTCTTTGTCGTTCTGTATATATGATAGTTCTCCAATGTGTTCAAGTGTTGCCCCTTCCTACCTGTTGCTATGATATGAATAAATGTATGCACTGTAAGATGGTTAGAATAAATCATGGACATTAGAATATGTTGCATATTTGACTCAACATTTTGTCATGATTCATGTTTCTGATGCAGTACCCAGGACGGGACTTCCTCAATCCCTGTACTCGTAACTTGCTTCATCCGCGTATCATCAAAGTGGCCGCGAAGAGATAGTCGGTAGCGTTCACATGTAGCTGCTATCAATGTAATACAATTCAACCTCAATCCCTGTACTCGTAACTTGCCTCATCTGCGTACCATCAAAGTGGCCGCGAAGAGATTAGTTGGAAGCGTCCACATGTGGCCGCTATCAACGTAATACTATTCAACCGATAAGGAACTTCACTTATTTATTCCCGAAGTCTCCATGAGGTTTGTTACGCTTCTTCATTTGAAACTGGGGGCTGTTCACATTAGCGGTGACTAGTCTGTAGTTAAGTGTGTTTAGCTTCCTGTAGTCATGCCGAAAGTGAAAGTAAGTCAGAAAACTAAATTACAGCTGTATCAGCGGGATTTCGAAGGAGAGATGATAAGTACGGATAACAAAATTCTCTATTGCCGAGCGTGTGAGAAAACTGTTGCTTGTGAAAAACGCTTTCAAGTGCTTCAGCATTTGAACACTAATATACACAAAGAGAATATTAAAATTAAATCCACGAAAAGTGTTCCTGTTCAAAAATTGCTTAGTGAATTTTCTAATAATAGTTTTTCACAGTTTTCCTCTGATTTATGCAAAGACTTTTTAGTGGTAGATATTCTGCTGTGGAAACTAACCAGTCCTACTCTGAGAAACTTCATAGAGAAGTATACACAGTGCAAAGTGCCGGATGAATCTACTGTGCGCAAAAATTACGTGAAGCAGTGTTACGATCTTACAATTGAAAGCATTAGAGATAAGATTTGAGATAATTTTTTGTGGGTATCAATCGACGAAACACACGATTGTGAGGAACAGTTTATTGCAAATTGTATAGGTGGATCCCTTAGTAAGAATGAACAATCTACCCCTTATCTTCTTTTAGTAGAGGAATTTGAAACCACAAATAGCTCCGCAGTTTCTGAATTTTTTTATAAATTCCATGAATTTACTATGGCCGAATGGCATTCAGTATGAGTGCGTATTGCTCTTTGTGACTGATGCTGCAAGTTATATTATGAAAGCCGGTACTGCTCTTATAGTTATATTTCCAAATATGACACATTTGACTTGCCTTTCCCATGGGTTGCACCGTGTTGCAGAAACAATTCGTGCAAATTTTCCTCTTGTTGACAAGTTGGTGTCTTCTGTGAAGAAGGTATTTGTTAAAGCGCCATACAGAAAAGAAGCCTTTAAAGCAGTAGCACCGAGTGTTCCACTTCCACCAGAACCAATTTTAACGCGCTAGGGCACGTTGCTGTGTGCAGCGAGTTATTATACCGAACATTTATAAACAGTTAGGAATGTCGCGAATACATTTGATCCCAAAAGTGCAGCATCAATTCAAATTGCCCAAGATGTACTAAAAAGTGCAGAACTAGAAACTAATCTTTCCTATATATCTGCTCACTTCTCTCATCTTCCATCCGCCATTTCCTCACTGGAGGCAAGCAATAGTGATACTACTTTGTATCAGTCGTTAAGTGTGTTCAAAACCACTGTTTCCAAATTGAATTCGGTTCCTGGAAGAGTAGGTGAAGTAGTAAAGGAAAAAGTACACAGCATTCTTTAAAAAAGTCCAGGATATGAAAAAATTTTGTGAAATTGAAGAAATTTTGTCCGGTAAACGTACTGAACTGTCAAGTAAAAAGTCACTAACAGTGGACAAGTAGCGGCTTTTGTACATGTGCCCCTAAGTTCCTGTGAGGTGGAAAGAAGTTTTTCCCGCTATAAGGACATCTTATGAGACAATAGGAGCCGACTAACTATGGAAAACCTAGAATATTTAGTAATTGTGAACTGCAACAGAAGAGATGTTAAAAGTTCGGAGAGCTAAATGTGAGTACCATTGGTTTTTTAAATTTGTAATGAAATATGTTGGCTTTGTTGCATGATTTGTATTTAAGTATAGCTTTTTATTGCAAATGAACCATTCAGTGATTACATAAAATGAACTTAAAAATTGATTTGTTGGTCTTAAAATAATGTAAAATCAATTTTAATATTTGGTATAAATTTTTATGTGCATATTTTAGTGCATATTTCGGAAGTTTTTCATGCATAAATGCATACATATTTAAGGGGTTATAAGGGCATAAAAATCCGGTCCCTAGTGATTAGTTCTTCCCAAAACTTCATTTTATTAAGTTATAACTATTTCTAAAAATAATCTTTGAAATTTCCCTCCATTTTGTATGCCCTTATACATATGTGCATGTGTATGTTTCTCCCTTTGACTGCCTCTGTGGTAAAGTGGTCAGAGTTCCTGTCTACAGATCTAGAGGTCCCAGGTTCGAATCCCAGCGCTACCAGATTTTCTGAGAAGTAGTGGGTCTGGAACGGGGTCCACTCAGCCTCGAGAGGATACTTAAGGAGCTGCTTGAATGGAACATTAGCAGCTCTGGTCTAGAAAACCGAAATTAACTGCTGTGGGATTTGTTGCACTGACCACTTGACACTCTGTATCAGCTGAAGTTGGCACTAACTTTGCTGACAAGTGGTGATCGCTGGTCGGTGTAGTTAACTAGCAGACTAAAGCCACAGAATTATACATGTGTGCATGTATATGTTTCTCCTTTTAATTAGTTTATTTTATTAACATATTGCTGTTAATTTCTGTGGTTAGAGTCTGATGGAGAGGAGCCAGCAGATGATCATGCCTGCCAGAAGTGTGGTAAGAGCGACCATCCTGAGTGGATTCTGCTTTGTGACAAATGTGATTCAGGTTGGCATGGATCATGTCTGCGCCCAGCATTACTTGTCATTCCAGAGGGGGACTGGTTCTGTCCACCCTGTGAACATGTGAGTATTCTTTCAAATGCAAGTTAGAAATTGTAGCAGTGGGATTTAAGATTTAACCTTTAATGTACGGACTTTTAAATTGCCGGCAGCCCTCTGCAGCCGATATTTAAATCGCCCTAATTAATTAACATTGCAAACTTTCAGAAAAAAATCCATATTTTCTGTTCTATGCAACATAGAAATACAAACTAAAAACAACCTGAAAGACAATAAAATTTTCTACATATACACAAAGAGCAATTTTTACAAACGAAAATTAACTGTGATTATTTTGTCATGAATTGCAAAATATAATGTTATGAAATTCCAAAGGATTTAACCATTGTTTTTTCTTCAACCTTGAATCATGGTGATATTGTAAATATAATCAGAGTTTACGATACACTCTGACATGCGTGGCACTTCTCAAAGCAGTCCAACTCACACAAAGTGACATCGCACTTTTTACAATAGAAGAGCGTGCTTCTGCTTTTCTTATTTAGCGAAACACACGACACCGTCTTTGTTTCCCTTTGGTTGGCCAGTGTTGTGAATGTTTCACCTCCAGTCAACTTAGTTGGGCCCCAGGTAACCTTGGCCTCCCCCGAGAAACGCCACCGACCGTGATATTCGTCATGTGATATTCAGCTTTGAGACTTGGTGATATTGTTAATATAATCACACTGTATACAATAATATTACTGTACGCGAGTTTGAACTGCGTCACTTTACAGTTTCACTTCAGTCACCTCACTATGATAGTCACACTGACACGCGTGGCACTTCTCGAAGCAGTCCACTTCACACAAAGCAAAATCACACTTTTTACAATAGAAGAGCGTGCTCCTGCTTTTCTTATTTAGTGAAACACATGACAACGTCTTTGTTTCCCTTTGGTTGGTTAGTGTTGTGAATGTTTCACCTCCAGTCAACTCAGTTGGGCCCTCATAACTTTTGCCTTCCCCCGAGAAACGCCGCTGACCATGATATTCGGCTTGTGCGATTGAATAATCATCTTGGGTGAGGGGGGTTTCTAGCAGAATCGAATAAATTATGTTGATAAATCAACACACTCACCTGTTGGTAATACTTGCAAAATAGTGATGCAAAGTAAGTATAATACTAGTCGAAAAAAGTGCCAGTCCGACACATACTAAAAGTCGCAGTAGCGAAGATGCCTTTACTCACAAAGTAATACTGGTTCAGTGGGTTTATACCTCTTCCAAGACGCAAAATAAAAATGATATATAAAGAAATATATGAGTCTGACGCTGACTTTCTAACTGATAATTCGCCACTGAAAACCAATCCTTGAATGTGTCAGACTTCCTTGAAGGCCCTGGAAGCCCTCTTAATGCAAGCACCGATAAATATTTCCTCATCAGTTCTCGAAACAAAGCTGGGCTATATTTGGCTGACCAGGTCATAAACAGTCATATCTAAAGGTAAATAGTATCAAAACCAGTACTGTGTTAAACGATTTCTTTGCTCAGAGCTAAGGAATGAACCACTGACATTACCTCGCATAGGTTTGTTTTGGTTTCAAACCCAAGGTCAAACTGTCAGCACTCGCTAAGAGTGCATGTGTCCTGCGTCACATATACGTGTCATTCCGCCAACTCCGGTTGCTGCTTGCGACATATATATGTGACATTCTGACGTTAAAGGTTAAACTGCACTATATGTAATGTGAGTATATGAAATTCCAGAGCTGCGTCCATTGAAGGTTTTTTCCTTTACAATTACAGACGTTCCTGTTAACAAATCTGCAGAATAACTTGAAAGAATTTGATCGAGCTTTGAAGCGTCGTGAGAATGAAGAGTTACGACGCAAAAGGCTTGCATATGTGGGCATAAGCTTGGATAATGTACTTCCAAATAAGGAAAAGGATGCTGGAGCAAGTGGTAAGCAATTCTTTTGCTTCAGATTTAGCATTAGTCTTATAATTATTTTCATGTGTGTGATATATCTGATACAGAACTGATCAGGTGTAGTACAGTGTATCAGAAAATGAAATATACAATTCTGGAAATGAAGATGCTAATCTTCAGTATATTCCTTCTCATAAAATAGCATCTTAGTGGTATTGTGTTTACCTTATGTTTTATTCTGTTGTTACTAGGTGGTGAATCAGATCATGCCTCAAAAGCTGGGAAATTATCATCGTCATCATCATCATCTAGTTCGGATTCAGGATCCTCTTCAGGTGATGAATCTGAACCATTATATCACTTGAGGGAAAGACGTCAGACCCTATTCAGTTATCGCTTCAATGAATATGATGATCTTATCAATTCAGCCATTCAGGTAAAAGCAGTTTATTTCACATTCAAAGCTACTAATTGTTGTGTACTGAATTTTGCAAGTGTGTTGCAACTCAAAGTAATCCCCCTGGCTTTAATGTAATGTATGTAAGGGGTGGGCCATAAAAACCGGTCACTGCACTGCGACCTTCAATGATCTATTGTGCTTCCCCTTGGATTAGCCCTTTATTAATCCTACACTTTTAATAAAGTGTAGGACCCTGCTTATGGAGGCGTCATAAAAGTCACTTGGTTCCGTAAAGAACTGACCCAAGTGACAAAATCTTAAATAAGCTATGGCCTCACAATCACACAGGATGTGTGGCTGATTCATTTTCTTGTACGCACCTTTCACAGGTTGGGTTATCTGTCTGTCCCAGTTTGGAAAGGTGTCTTTTTAGGTGATGTTGTTTGGTAAGTAATCCTGCCACCCATCTTAGTTGATCTCTGTTTAATCTCAACAGATCCTTCCTTCTTCTGGCAGAGGGTCCTGCATAAAACCCTTTGCCTGTTTGAGTCCAATTATGGATTCCCAGTATTTTCTATGATTTCCATCAGTCCAGTCCCTGAATGCTTTCTTGGCAACTCCAATTGAGATGCTGCAAGCTGGTTCAGGTCCTATGAACGGCTGTTCAGATCCTGTTCTTGCCAGTTGATCTGCGGCTTCATTCCTTGCAATACCCTCATGACCTGGCACCCATATTAGTATCCCCTTGGCTTTAAGTCCATTTACTCTACAAATCAGGGTATATCGTACCTTTTGTAAGCATCCTGGAAAAGTACTGTGTGTGTGGTCATGATGTTATTCATGACTGACAGAATTGTTGCTGCTGAGTGGCTGGGCCTGTGGATATTGGGAATTAGTGGGAAGGATTTTTAAGAAATGTACCTGAAGTCCTGTAATATACACTTCATGGGTAAAAATAAGTATGCTAAAACTTTGTTTTAGAAAAGTACAAAGTAAAGCAAAGTATTGTGCATTATGTAGATTAGTCTTCTGGGATTTGATAGATATCAACGTTTCAGAGAAACATCCTACCTCCGTTAGTGTGCCACACGCTTCAGCGCGTGATAATGACTCATGTGTCACTTTTCTTGGCTTCACTCAAGCACACTTATCAGATGTAGGCTCACCCAAGGTCTACGTTTATGATCACAGTACAAATCTGATGCACTTATATCATGTTTTGGTTAATAAAAGACCAACTCATTGTGCCTCTTGGGAGAGCAGAGGTATTTCTTTCTCAAGGGTGTAACTAATGGGGTGTGAAATCTTAATAAGTGGCGTAAATATTAGAACGATTTTGGGCAAGATTAGTATGTTGGAATCAGGAAGATGTTATTAATGGAAGTAAAGATCATATTTCAGTTTTTATGGATATATAAATACAGCAACGGTCTTCTTACATAAATAATTTCTCATATTACAGAATGTGTTCTAAATAGAAATTTTGAATTGAATTTACTATACTTAACTCCTTGAAATACCGGAATTTAAATTCCCAGGTGCTCCTCACAGCCTAAATTTTTAAAGGCTGTGATGCATTGCTTTGATAAAAATTTTGTCTTTTAGTTACATTTTGTTCGAAATTTATAATATGTAAGGCAAGTGAAGAACTGTCATTCATTGTCCTTACTTGCATTTTATCCTGTGTCACACTAAAATTATGTTTTGTTTAACTTACAAAATAATTACCTGCTATTTGTTTTAGACATAGCTTCTGAAATAATGTTGCACTTTTGAAATGTAGAATCTTTCATGAAGTGCAGCGCAGCCATTGTTGGAACTGTGTATCATCTGTTTTGTATTGCCATATAGTATCTACTGCCGGCCTATGTTTAGTCTCCATTCTTTGTTTTTTGTCTTTTAAAAACTTTTTTGTGTGTTGAGTTTCTTGTAGAAGTGCAAGATGCACAGTCCAACATCACATTCACTGCACATGTAATGACTCTCTTATTCTTCTTAGGGTTTATCACAAGATTTATGATGCTTTGGCATTTCATTCTTTCAGTAAGGAGCACCAGGCACATAATGTGGAAAGCGACATTCTGTCAGACGTTGAGGAATTTTCCCGCTTGAACACCTTCCATTTCTGGATATTAATCTTCTTTCTGTATATCATTTCAGAAGCCCTTTGATGATGCTCATTTGAAAATTTTGTCACGAGTTAGTGACCAGACATGGGGTTTAGATTGGTTATTGGATTTATTTACATTTAAATATGCAACTACAAATGATTATAACACTTTCATTAATTTGCACATTCTAAAAATAACTACATATTTATCTTCGCTGGTCTTTGCTAGATAGCAGCAGAGCTATTTTTTCTTCCGTGCCCACTGCCAGCCACCAAATGTGACTGTTTACTGCCCTTGCCAGCACCGTCATTCTGGTTCTGAGTCCCATGACCATATATTACTGTCCAAGTCCACGTCCAAGTCACATTGCGACTGATGGTCAGTCAATCTGTATGCTTTGGTGTTGAGCCCCGGCTGGCGCTCATGAACAGATTATTTTATTTTATTTTTTTTTCCTTATATGAAAGTTGCTGTCCTGTCCATTTGGGGCACCCTCTCTGATGAGAGGTTGGGTCTGTCATTTGTCAGTCATAGTCCGTAATAGTAAGTTCATTGTCAGTATTTACATATATTTAAAATTTAATCTTTTAAAAAGCAGTTCCTTTACTGTTGCATATTTATTCGTTGCCGTGGAAATGTGTTTACTGTGCTGCTGTGTAGCAACAATCACTTCTTGTTCCACTATTCACCCATCATGTCACAATATGGAAGCGGCATACTTTTCTCATTCTGCATTATATACATTACCTGCACATTGAGCAGTGCTATGTCAAGAATATGAAGTGCCAATATTTTTATCATTTCATAGATTTACAGCAATATTGAACATAGCTCAGCAGCATAACATTCCAGTCTGCTGCACCCATTTTACTGCTATAGTTCACAATATATTTTGGCTTCATAATTGCTTTTTGCTTTCCGGTACTCACTAATTAATCTGGTTGAAGGGTGGAAAGCATTCTTACATCCTGTCTTGTCACACCATTTCATGGTTAAAAGTGTATCACTGATCATTGACTGTACATCAGTTGTTGAAAGCTTTTGTGACAGAAGTGGCATACCTTTCCTTATGCCCCATACAATACCACAGGAACTAGTTTTCAGTCTGTGAAGAAACAGGAACCATGCAGGACTGGTGCACCAGTTATATTAAAAATGAATGAAGCTATCCTGAAATACAGTCAGGAACTTTTTGAAAACATCAAACATCTTATGAAGTCAGATGCTTTTTATTTGTTTTTTATTATTCAAAAAGAGAGGCATTCTTAGAATTGAAGGGATTCTCTCTCTTGCCATAGTTACCAAGAAAATTTTTGAGCAGTACATCTTTTGACCAGTATTCGTTCAGAGAGTTATGTTTCTCTGTAGGCATCAGATAGCTGGAAGGTTAGTGAATAATGAATTGGATAGAATGTGGAAGGAAGTGGTCAAGCCATAGTTTCAGTTACTATAAGGTCACTTGCCTCGAAGGACTTTGGAAACAGTCACAATAGCCAGTCTAAGTCAAGAAATTGATGTAAGCCACAATGTAATTTTCTACTAATTATCAGTGTGTGATGCATTTACGTCTTCATTTACGTATTGACTCACAATATGAGGTTTTGCTTGTTGGTGAGGAGATGTGCTGCTCTGTTTCTTTATCCAGTAATACCATCTTTTCATGTCTGTGTTCATCCAGCATCCCTTCCTAAAGTTTCAAGGACTTTGGCCTAAAGTATTTAGACTTGAGGTGAGACCTAGGCAGTAAGTAAAGTAATATTCCATGTGTAGGAGAGCGCAGGATTGCATTTCTCAGATAAAGTGAAATGTAAAATTTCATCGCAACTCTTTTTCATTCTTGTGGGACAATTATGTCACCCAAGGCCAAAATTTCTGTAGAGTGTATGATAGATAAGTATTTCTAAGGAATTTGAAACCTGTTTGGAGTTTTATAATCAGGAAGTGATCTGTGTGATGGATTTCTATTATTTTCAAAGTGGAGAAATCTCGGTATATGTAGCATCTGGTCACTTCTCATGGCTTTTGAGTAGAGCAGATTATAATACAGTTGTAAACCAACCAGTAATCAACAGAACATTTCAGTTGAATTGTTAAACTTCTGCTTTGTATTTGGGAGATCCCAGCATCATTACTCAGCCCAGAAATGGGCTGTCTGGACTGATATTTATGTGGTTTCTCTCGGTCCGTACAGGCAGATATCATAGTCAGATGGGCTTATTGTGACTGAGGTTTTTATGGTCTTCCTCAGTCCCTTCAAGCAGCTACCTTAAATTAGGCCACAGTCACTTTCGATGCACATCCTTTCCAATTCATTGTTCACTAACCATCTTGTTATTTGATGCTGTATATTCTGAGTAATTGAATGCACTGCTAAATAAGCCAAGAACTGTTATGGATAAATATATTGTCCTAATTGTTAAGTCCCATTGTGCTTCAGTGGTTGCCACTGGGCCCAAAGTTCATAGGCTCAAACCCAACGAAGGTCAATGGATTTTTAAGGTTAATGAGAAACCGTAGCACAACTTCGTTAGGAAGGGAAATAAAGCCAGAGCTCCCATGTCATACATTTGTAGCATGTAAAAGAAAAACTTTGCACTCATGATAAGAAGTGGATGAAGGCAAGGTTAGATGCCATATTTGATTGCCCACAAAGTCACTGTGGTTGCACGACTGCAGAGGCCTGTGGCAGACAAGAGTGGGAAGGTCACCCAACCTGACTGTAGATAGCTATATAACGTAACACCAAAGTGATGTCTGAATAGAAAATGAGTTACAAGCATGTCAGTCAACTGAGGTGGAAAGCACAAAGGTCTTAATCGTCAAAGTGCAGAATTAGAAATGAACCAAACACCCATCATTGATTTTTTTTAATTAAAGTTGTTCCTGTGCTTAACTAATTAAGTCCTATGCCATGAAGCTGTGGGCGATAGATTCACATTTTCTTGACCTTGGCATTAGTTGGAAGTGAGTGGTCAGCTTCATGCCCCAGCCACTTTACCCCCATGGAAAGAGCCCCCAGTATCCATTGTATAGGAGGCTGGGTGGGCCCCAGGGCCAGTCTAAACGATGTGGAGAAGAAAAAATTCTTGACCCTACTGGGACTCAAACTTTGACCCCTGTGTTGTCTAGCCTGTAGCCAGTCACTATACCAACTGCGCTATCCCAGCTCCTAACAATATTGAGGCCCACTGGAATTATCAGAGATATGAAATGATATCCATTTCTTTAGTAATGGTTTAACATCTTTTCTATCATGTGTGGTCTGCAGTTGGTGGTGATTTATGATGCAATGAGAAGAATTAGTAATATTGTAATTGTAATATTTTAGTAATATAATGTGGTTAAAATATTAACCACTCATTCACTATGTGCATAGTTCACAATAGTTTCTAAGATAACGACTCATCCTCTTTCAACCTTGTTTTTAATAAATAAACTGCCAGTATGGGAAGGTTTAATGTGAAATTAATTAAGGTGAACATTTACAAGGGCTAGTTATTTGTATACAGCCTGTGTGTATTTCTCAATTTGTTTATTGCTGGATATAATCATGGAATTGAACATTTGATGTAGTATTATTGGAGCATAAATATGTATATGTGTTTAGGATGAGCTTGAAGCTGTAAAAGGAGCTGGAAATCAAGGCAGAGGCAAAGATATTGCTACTATTGTGAATGCAGAGAAGGAAGAGTTGGCAGCTGCTGGTGTGGGATTGGAGGAAGTGGAAAAGGATAGTCAGAATGCCAAACAAGATGGAAAATTGACAGAGCTAGAGGATGAACAGGAAGAAGCAGTGGAAGCTGAGGAAGAGGAGGAAGATGGCTATATTCCACCAGTGAGGAAGTTTCTGGGTAGGAAGAAACATAGACGTCTTAACAGTCTCGATATTAGCAGTGAGGATGACGCTGACTCTGATGAAGACTTCAAGGGAACCAGGTAATGCAGTGATTTAATGTGTTTTAAATTTCTTTTGAAGTTGTTATGGTATTCTTGTTTCTGTTTTTGCTGGAAATTGTTACTGTGCAGGCATAATCCTTAGTGAGTGATCTCATGTTGAACATGCACCAAAACCACTCTAGGCTTTATTCCTGACTGACCTTCAGCCTTTATTTCATATGTCATTAATGTACGTAGGTAAGTTAATAAGTTAGTTACAAATAGATAAAGAACTTAAACAAATAAGAGTACTGATTTGAAAAATGCTTTAATTTCTCAACATAATCTCCCTGTACATTGAGGTACTTGTTGCATCATTTCACAAGCCCCTGAAAACCAGCAGCATAAAATTCTTTGGGCTGCTGTCAGAACCAGGCGGTGACTTCCCTTTCTATATCTTCATCTTTGGGAAGATGTTCCGACAGGAGCCCAAAGAATTTTATGCGGCTGGTTTGGAGGGGCTTGTGAAACGATGGGACAAGTGCCTCAATGTACAGGGAGATTATGTCGAGAAATAAAATCATTTTTCAAATCAGTACTCTTTATTTTTTTAAGTTCTATATCCATTTGTAACTTACTTATTGACTTACCCTCATGTTAGGAATTAATTTGATGTCAGTGATCGTGTAATTGTATTTATTTGTGGAAAAACTGTTCTTTAACTACATATATAGAGAAATTATTTCTTCATAATTCAGATTCTTGATTTAACTTAATAGTCTTGATTACCTTCTATAATGCAGCAGTATTAATTTAACAACATTCATTCACACTTAATTCACTTGATTTAATTTGCATAACTCCCATTTAATGAAAACCTCATGTTAATGTATGAAACAGAAAAGGAATAGGGACATCACTGTATGCAGAATATTCCATGCTTAATTTCTATTCTGTTATGCTTTCTTTGCTCAAGGTGTACACACTCCACCTACATGCCTCTGATAGACTGTCTGATCAGTCAGTAGTAAGGACATCTCTCCCATCTGTTGTTATCACACAGAAGTAAAAAAAACTACAACTCTGTCCAGTGTAGACTGAGTGGGAAAATTAGTGGTTTTTAGTGTTGGTACCATGTGGAGAATATGTCTATCCAGTGATGACTTCTGTTTTGATAGTTCTCTGGTGCAAAGCCTCATATATATGCTGGTTTTAAAACTTTAATATTTTGTCTTAGCTCCCACAGATGGTTTATGCTGTGCTTGGCTTGTATACCCTGTCTTGTGTTGGTACAGATGTCTGGAGATAGGGACTAGCTCTATTGATTGGGCCCAACTGAGTAGGCTTTACCCCAAGATGTAGACAGAATCCAGTATCCAAAGAGTTGTGTTTTGAAATAAAAACAGAACAGTGTTTTAGACAAAAACAGTATGATGGCTAGTGTCCAGAAACGTAATATTTGCATAGAGGGAAGGGATTTAATAACATTTTGGAGCTGCAGCAAAGTTCCAAGTAGGTGCATAATTCTGTTGTGAGGGAAGAGCTTAAGATGTGCCAGTGGTGGCAGAATCACTGAGCTTGGCATGTTATTTCCCAAGGGAAGTAGTATGAAGGAGACATGATGCAGAATTGAGTCATGTAAATGATTATTTGTATGTAGATAATTTCTCACCTTTTAAGGACTACCTTGTAAATAATGATGTTCATTTTCTTTCTTCACATTGGTGTAGTATATTTATTATATTTCTATTTCAGCTCAGAGGATGAAGATGAAGAGGAAGAGGAAGAAGAACTGGAATTAGATGAGAGTGAAGATTCCGATGTGGTAGGCAGAAATCGTAGGGGAGGCTCAGGTCGGCGCCGGAGGAATGCAGAACCAGTTCGCCGTTCAACACGAGCTCGTATTACTCGCTTTGATAAAGAATTTAGTAAGTTTATCTGGCTAATTACTGAGATAATTCAAAGAGTAATGCAAGTAAATTTGGCCTTAATGCCACTGTGTACATTAATAGTTAGGTTTTGTAAGTAAGTTCTGGGAAGCAGGGATAACACAGTCAGTATAGTGACTGGCTATAGGCTGGACACCCGAGGGGTTAAAGTAGGGTCAAGAATTTTCTCTTCTCCACTTCATCCAGATTGACTCTGGGGTCCACCTAACCTATCCAATGGGTACTGGCACCTCTTTCCCTGGGGGTAAAGCAGCCGGGCCGTGAAGCTGACCACTCACCTCCAACTAGTGCCAAGGTCAAGAAAATGTGGATCTATACATCCACTCCCCTATATGCCTTCATGGCATAATACTTAATTAGTTAAGTGCAGGGGCAGCTTTATCTTTTAAGTAAGTTCTGTTGGACAACACTGAGGACTCTCACATAAGAATCTGCCATCAAGAATATATTTTGTCACATGTTGGGTGTATGTCATGTGACAGATAACTTCACGCCATCTTGGATCAAGCGAATTTATTCCACTCGCTCTTACGCTTATACAGTTTACAATTTCCCAAATTACTGCAATCTGCAGTATCACAAATACTTCTCCTGTAATCATTTCCATTCACTCGATACAACCCGACTCGGCGACTGCTAGACTGCAACTGACTTGTTGCTCTCTCTCTAGTTACTGGCTCAGTACTCACTACTGAATAGTGTTCGCTGCTCCTTATTTAGGCTCGGCACGGACAACACAAAAAACGGTTACGTGATAGGTACGACTGTTGCGTAACGTTGTGTTTACCGATTGCCTAGCAACAGTCATTGCATGGGCTCCCCTGTTGCATGACGCCATGTTTACCATTGCCTAGCAACAGACGCACTACTGTTGCGTGACATCACAGCCTAGCAGGGAGGGGTGTTTACCGAGCATTGTGTAATGATGGAAGGATGGGGGGGATGTGACGTCACTTGTGAGAACGTGGAGTTCACGTGACCCCTACTTGTTGTTGCGCCATCCACGTCACACTGCTTCCTTCTAAAGGTTGTTCATCCCGAACAGCCTAATGGTACATTCCGTTCCTTTTTCTTTCCGTTGCTGTGCTTGCTGTGTCTCCTGTTGTTTTGGCTACTCCTCTTGCAGTGACTATTCTCTGGCCATTACATCCTCCCTTTTTTTTCTCACAATTACACCATTTACAATTATACCACTACTGTCATCTGCAGTATCACAAATACTTCTCCTGTAGTCATTTCCATTCACTCGATACAACTCGACTCATCGACTGCTAGATTGCAACTGACTCATTACTCTCTATCTAGTAACTGGCTCAACATGTGACAATATTATAAAAGTCAGAATCTGTCATAAGATAACTTTTATGCAGTTGGGACAATTTTAGCATACTTTCTGTATTTTGAAAAAAGAAAGTAGGCTTATGAAATCAGCATGTTGTCTGTGTATCCCCTCTATCAACTTTTGAATGCCAGAACCAATCTTTATGAAATTCAGTATGTATATAACAGCACCTGAGCCCACCTCAACAGTGTATTTCATTAGTCCCTCCCATCAGCCCCTGTAGGTGTATCTCCATATCATTGCTAGGCAACAGCTCAGTAAAAACATTACTGTGGCAATTAATACATGTGCAACAATAGAAGAATTGTTGTATGTGTTTTTTGTATGTGGTCTGTGTCATCAAAGGAAAATAGGCAGTTCTTCCCAGAACTTCTTGTCTGTATATGTGAAGATAAATAAATATATGTGTAATGTATCCTGTTCCAGATTGAATTTTTGAAACCTACTGTGCAGTAATGACATGAAGCAGAGTGGGTTTTATATTGCTTATAGATTTTGCACTGTTACAAGAACATCATTAAGCCGTAATAGTATGTGAGAAGTAAGCTCATAATATGAAACACATTATGTCAGAGATTGTAGTAATGTGAAGTTGTTTCTGGTTTTGCAGTTAATGATGACAGTGATGAAAGTATAGAGCCACGCCGCAAAAAGACTCGCCGATTGTGGCAGGACTCGGATAGTGAAGAAAGTGATTCAACATGGGGACAGAAGAAAAGGCGGTAAATCTAAATCTCTATTTCTGTTGCATGCCAACTGATTACAGAAGATTCATATTGAAAGCACCTTGACGTAAGAGAGTAAATGGTTGATAAATTTTGAAACCAGAAGACAGATCATTTCATACAGGTATAAGGAAACAGGAAGCTGGGATAGCTCAGTCAGTGAAGTGACAGGCTGTGGGCTGGATGGCCAGGAACTAGGGGTTTGATTTCCAGCAGGGTGAGGGTTTTCTTCCACGTGTTTATACCAGCTCCAGAGCCCACCCAGCCTTGTGTTCAGTCAATATGAGGAGTTCACCTGGGAGGGGGGGGGGGATGTGAAGTAGCAGGGGCCTGAAACTGATTAGTCACCACCATCTGGTGCCAAGGTCAAGAATATTGGCACTATACCTCCACTTCTTATGCCATCATGGTGTGATGCTTAATTGTTTATGCAGAGGGGAAATTTTACCTTTTTACCTTATAAAGAAATAGTTTGCAAATTCTCGTAGTAATCACATCAAGGTAACAATAGAATTTTAAGGATATTTTTGAGGGATTAATTTCACATAAGCCTTATACCAGAAATACTGGTTGAGGTTTAGAATTTTGCTCCTGAACATCAGATCATCCTTGGTCATGGAAAATGCAGTGAAATGTTAATTATTAAAAAGAGCTTATCATGTAATTCAAGAAAAACTTATGTTAATTGGTGCAGGGATGGGAACATCCAATATGAAATGAAATACTCTATTTTATGCCCATCTTTCATGCATGCACATATGGGGCGGACATGACTGTGCATGCTTTGTTGGAAGACATTGGCATTAGCCCAGTCCATAAAATTCAAGTAAATTTAAGTATTGCAGTATAAGAGTATATATATATATATATATACCTTCTGCTCATTCATTTTCACATTATTCACTGTATGGAAAAAAATATTAGAAAGGATTATGTCTTATATGTGTCTGGGTATGATATTTGAGTTTGTTTCATTGTCTGTGGTCCATATAAGTTAATTTTGGCAGTAAAAATGTTAGTAATGCGCAAAAGATATGTTTATAAATATTATAGTTCTTATTATGTTATTTGTATTTTTTTTGTGGATATTCAGAAAACATCACTTGGACAGTCACAAACCTAAGTCAAAGAAGAAGAAGAGAAAGAAGCATATGAAAGATTTGGACGATGAATACAATAAGAATAAACCTAAGACTCCAAGGGTAAGAATATTTAATAATCTTAAGATGATTAAAGAGTTGAAAGATGATGTTTCCAGCATTGCAGTAGGCTAATTCCCTCTTCAAAGAGTCCTCCAATTGTATGAAGAATTCACTGTTTTACAGTCAGTATTGAATCACAACAGAACATTGTTTATTTTTTAATGATGTGCCATTAACAGAGATGCAAGAATGTTCCCTTTTTTTACTTTAACTCAAGTTAATTGAACTTTTAGTGAAGCAAACTGTTTATGAAAGTTTTGATGTAATATTTCACTATGCAGAGGGAAAGAAACAAAACCATAGTTTTACTTTTTTTTTTTTTATTGCTAGTGGGGTGAGACTAAGTCCCTTGTACTGCTGCCACTTCTGACCTGTTGTACCAACCCCAGATGATAGGTGAGGGTGATTGTGGAGCAATTGGTGGAATGAAGATTGGCAGGGGAAACCGAAGTACTTGGAGAAAACCTGCCCCAGCACCACTTTGTCCACCACAAATCCTACTTGACCAGACCAGGGATTGAACCCGGGCCACCACAGTGGAAAGCCAGCGACTAACCGCTTGAGCTATGGTGCGGCTTAGTTTTACTCTTCATATACATCTGTTTGCAATGGTTGTTTGCTTTCAGATAAAATATGGAGGCTTGGATGATGATGAAACCTCTCCTTTGCCTCGAACACGTGGTAGAAAGATCAACTATCAGGAGGTAGCTGGATCAGAGAGTGAAGAGGTATGTTAAGTGAATAAATCAAACCCAACTGTGTCTCCTGTGAAATAATACAGAGGGCTTGAACATTATGCTAATTAATCTGCTGCAGGAATAATTTTCCATTGACATGACTCTGTGATTGCCCAGTAGTCATTTTAGTATGTTCACAATGAAAAATTGCTTAAGTACTCCTGTCGGCTTTGCCATCTCTGTATGTAATGATTTGCCACCCATTGAGTGGATTTTCATGGAATTTGGCATTGGAAATTCTACAGAAACTCATCAACACACTCCCTTTGGGGAGGGAGTTAAAATTGGGCAGTAGTAACGGACACTTTGTCCGATGACCTACATACGTGTGTCTTGAGCGTATCTTACTAATATTTGTTGGAGCAAAAAATGTTTTGAACAAAATGAGTAAAAAAGAGTGAAACATGCATTTTAAACTTAATATGCTTTCTTCCTTAAGTATTACAATTTTCAAGATGATACAAAAGGGAGTAAACATGCCAGAATTATTATGTTATGCATACATTTCCTATCTTGTTCATGTCTTTCTTTAAGTTCCAAAAGTGCCTGGTCACCCTTATTCTCTTTACTTATTACACTGAGGGCCATATGAAATATCATATAAAAGGTGCAATATAATTGGAAGGAAGACCAAAAAGTTAATATTCATTATAGAAGAATACTGTAATATTACTAGTAGTTGCTATAGCATTCTGACGATGGTGTATAACACACTGATATATTGGGTTTTTGGACTTTATCCATCGTCCTGGTTTTTAAGATAACTAATAAAAACATGACGTTTCGGAAACTGGATCTGTTTCCGTCCTCAGGTGAAGGAAAACAGCTATTCTGTTCCAGTTTCCGAAACGTCGTGTTTTTATTAGTTATCTTAAAAACCAGGACGATGGATAAAGTCCAAAAACCCAATATATCAGTGTAATATTACTCTTCCATATTGCCTTTGAAGCAGGTAAATTAATTTGTAGCATCTGAGTTACTCAAAGTGGTGATTATTACAAGCTCTTTCTTCTGGGATATAACATTTTATAGTCACTGAAAGTCAACTTTCAACAGCATGCATGGCTTTAGACCCCAGGAGATTGAACTCTTCAGGTTATTATTATTTGTTTCAGGAATTGATGAAGGCTGTGACTAAGCAGCTAGAAAGTGAGGAAGAGTATGTGGCAAGTGAAGAAGAACAGATGATGTTGGAAGAGGAAGAGGATGAACCAGAAGGTGAAGAAGAAGTGGAGGGAGATGCAGAAGCAGAAGTCAAATCTGAACATAAGCCTGAACCTGAACCTGAGGAGAAAGCAGAAGCTAAAGTTGAGGCTGAAAATCGAGAAGAAGGATCACAGGTAGAAGAAGAGCCAAGGAGAAAGGAACCAGCTATTCAGTCAGGTTAGCCTGTTTCATTTTTATAACCAAAACCTTGAGGGGGGGGCTGACTTTGTTATTAGTGTCAAGGAGCGTTATATTACAAGGTGGGTAAATACTGTATTAGGAAAGTTATCACTTCCATTTATTTGTCTTATGTACTTACACAATTTAATTGTAGTTAGCATATTTTGAAGCTAACTCTGAAATGTTTCAGTTGAGGAAGAGCCTCCATTGAAAGTGGGAAGGAAGAAGAAAGAAAAATCTGAAAAGAAGCCGCGAGCTGTGAAGAAGAGGAGATCTCCAAACAAACCTAAAACTGAGAAGAAAAACAAAACTGAAAGGAAACCAAGGAAGGCCAAGCCAACACGAATGAAGAAGCAGATCATCCGGGATGATACTGAGGATGAGCTGGAGGAGTTTGGTGAAGAGTTCGAAAATTTGGAAGAAGGTGAAGTAAGGCTCGGAACTGTGTTGGCTGAAAGGGAAGAGCTAATGGATGAAGAGCTTTTGGAAGAGGAGTTGGTAGATGAAGAAAAAGAAATGGATGAAATGCTGGAAGAAGAATTACTTGAGAAAGAGATGTTAGAAGAGGAAGATGATGATGAATTCCTTGCTGTGAAAGAAGCTGAATTGGCCCTTCAGCAGGCAGAATTAACCAAGGCTAAAGAGAAACGGAGACAGAAAAGAGAAGCTAAGAAGCTTGAGAAGAAGGAACAAAAGAAGCGGGGTAGGAAGGCCAAGAAATTGGATGAAGTTGAATCTGTACAGCCTATTTTGATAAGTACACTTGCAGACAAAAAACACCCTGTTCAGAAGAGTGCAGAAATTGAGTCAGAACTTTCAAAGAATGTAGAGCCACTGCCAGTAGTTCCACCTATCATTTTGCCGGTGGTCTGTACATCATCACCTGCCCCAGTAGTGTCAACACCAACACCAGCAAAAAGGAGGGGGAGAGGTCGTGGGAAAGCAACACTTGCTGCAGCAGCTGCTGCTGCTGCTGCTGCAAGTGCTGACACCACAACCACAGGTGTTGCTTTAGCAGGAAAACTCCCTGCTAATGGTCAGATGGGGTCAACACCTCTGAGTGGTATGGCATCATCTTGTTTCCCAGGTCCAAACCAACAGCCACAGCAACTGCCCTTCTGTACACAGCCCCCACATTCAAGCAGTAGTGTCATAACACGAATGTTGCAGTCACAACCTGTTTCAGGTGGACCACAGAGTTTCACAGCTGCAGCCACAGCCATGGGACACAAGTACTTTGGTGGTCCAGGTAATGATCAGTTACCATTGGTAGGCCCAGGTTCGGGTAATTCAGGATCTGGACTAGGTGTGGGAACTGGTCCTTCAGGTCGGGGCGCTGTAAGTACAGCACAATCATACTCAATTCCAGCTCGTGGCCGTATTCCATCGCCCTACCGACAACCTCCTCCTCTCACTAGCTCTCCCTCTGGCAGTCCAGGAATATGTTTACCACATTATGCCAGCCCAAGAGGGTCTCCCATCCGCCCACCACCAGGTTCTATTCAGCAGACAGCCATGTCACCATTACGGATGAGAACTTCAGGCCCTGGATCTCAAGGACCACAATTGTACCATACATCACACCATCCTTTAGACCCATCACCTTCCGGTGGAGGTCCAATTGCAATTGCACCTAACAATGGTGTTCGGCCTGGGGGAGAAGGTTCTCCTCTACACCAACCACCAACTCAGATTCCTCCATCAGCTGGAAGCCCACTGGCTGGAAAGCCTGGACCATCGCCAACTTCCCACAGCACCCCACCACCCCCACCTTATACACGAGTAGTTCCTCCTCCTATGCATCAACAAGTACCTCCACCTCTTATTAGATTTCCTCTTCAATCTGCCGATGGAAATCCCCAGGGCCGACACCCTCAGTCACAGTTCCCACCCTCGACAACAGCAGGAAATCATCTGCAGCAAGCTCAACATTCCCCCCCTCCACATCAGGGCAGGAGTCCTGCTCCTGGTAATTTCTCTCCATACCACCCGCCTCCACCACCCAATTACCATTATGGTGCATATCCACCTCCTCCACCTCTAGCTGCCGCAGATGATGCCCTCCCTCCCTCAGCATACCAGGGTTCGCCTTACCCAGACCACTATGCTTCTCCAGATGCCTCTCACAGTTTGCAAGCATCAGATGGCAGCAACAGTAAATCTTACGATGAGGAAGGTGGTGGTGAATTTGGTGGCCTCGTGTCATACTTCTCCAGCCAACGAGAGGATGACCTTGACACGTAGCAAGGTGAGGCAGTGTGATTGCTTTCAGTGATGAATTTGCTGGGACAGATGATTGTGACATTGAACAGGTTGTTCATATGTTCTTTAATTCCTTGAAACTTTTCCTTCTTAGTGAGTGTGTCATGAATATTTTGAAAGTGCAACTAAACATCACATGTTTATTCAAACAATATAAACTTTATCAGAGATGTAGGAAGTGCGAAAGAAGGTAGTTTAATGACTTCAACTGAACTGTGTTTTATACGGATGAACTATTTGTCAGTTTGTGAAAAGTTTTAGTTGTGTGAAATGTAAATAGGTGTAAATAACAGTGGATTAAATGTACTATATGATGTTATACAGTAACATATATTTAAAAGAGTTTCAGCACGAAACGTTTATACTGGAAAAGTGATAGATGTTTTAAATGACAGACATGGAATGTTGTGAAGATGGGAAAGTAATTTTTATAGCAGTGGTATGGAAACATAAATATCTACATATTCTGTGTTATTAACGTTAATTATTATTTTTTCTCAAGAGGCATTTTAAAGGCTGCATTTTACCTTGTGTGGCACACAAGCACCCAAAGATATTAATTTAACCTCTAAGGTAACTAACAGTTCTCTGTCATTTCTCAAAAAAATGCCATAGGTGAAGCTCACAGTTAATAGGGAAGTCAGAGGGTTTACCCTTGGCTCTTGGGTATATCAGGTACAGTGCAGTCGCACTTTATGTGAACTTGAAATATTGCAATATAAAAATATTTAAAAAATCTCACTTTTTGTGTAAAGTTTGAAGTAATGCAAATCCTTAAAAATTACATCTATTCATATGAAAAAATTTGTGTTGAATTACAGGTTTCTTCAGGAGAGCATCCTTGCATAAAATGCGAACGCACTATATTTCATTTTTTACAGGCAATATATATTAAAATGCAGTGTTGGAGTTTACAGGCCTCTATCTCATTTATAAATTTATAATTTATAATCTTCTTCTTCTTAGTTTTATAAGGTAGATCCAGGTTAGAGTGTTCTGGTGTAACCTGTCCATAAAAGCATAAATAATAATATCCTGTTCTTCATTCCTTTTCTGTCCACTTCCGTTTGTTTCCACTGAGCCACGAGGCTGTCCCCCATTATACTGGTTTCTGTATAGGTAAAGTTGTCCCTGTGCTTATCTAATTAAGCGCTACACCATGAAGGTGTATGGGGGAGTGGATGTATAGATCCACATTTTCTTGATGTTGGTACTAGCTGGAGGTGAGTGGTCAGCTTCACGCCCCGGCTGCTTTACCCCCGGGGAAAGATCTCCCACTACCCATTGGATAGGAGGTTGGGTGGACCCCAAAGCTGGTCTGGATGAAGTGTTTGACACCCCCCCCCGGTTGTCCAGCCCGTAGCCAGTCGCTATACCAACTGAGCTATCCCGGCTCCCGCTTTCTGTATATGAGAAATAAAATTTACAAGGCACTGAAGTAAATGAAATTGCATAGTTTTACAAAATATTCTTGTTTTAATGCCCCTGTCAACTTCAACGTATACTGTTGACTTCACAGTACTTATGTACTTCGGAGTATATTTAATTTTGTATTTATGGGTATGGAGCTTTCAAAACTGTCATGTATAAATGTCACATATATGACTGGCTATAACAGTGTTGGTGTTGTAAACAATATGTATCTATTAAACTCCATGGTGTTAAGATTGATGACTTGTAACAGATAAAGTGTGTAAAATATCAGCAGTACAGCCAGTGAAGAGCCGGTCCTCATGAGCATCTTAAGTATTTGTATGGCATAGTAATAGAGCACATTGAATTACCTGTTTGTACTCCTCATTATATCAGCTGCTTTAGACTCATAGTGTATTCTCATAAAATGGTAAGATCTGAATCTAATTGTAATGTACATTTGTGTAGCAGAGAAATGTAAGTTAGATATTTTCCTGTGGAAGTATTATCTTGCAGTATTAAGTGCGAAGGACATTTTTGGAAATTAAAGGGACAGTAGTCTGGCTTGAGAAAATATAGTAGTCATTAAATCAACACATTCTTTATAAAACTATTATGTTAAGTACATTTACACAAGTTGAAAGTTTTTATATACATAATGTGTCATAAAATGCTGTCATAAACATCTATTTGTGCAACACTTCATTCTCTCTTAAATAGTTCATTGCATTTCTCTCTACACAGAGAGGAACACATAACCATAAATTTATTAACACAGTTATAAGTACTCAGCACAAGAACTGACACACATTCAACAGTAATACTTGTCAATGGAGCTTTCAAGAGATCATCATTATAGCTAAAGAACTTTAAATTTAACACTAGTGGAATTAACAGTTACATCATTTGTACAATCTGTCAGCAGCCTAATACATAATAATACATATTTACAGAAAAATATATACATGTATTTTGCAACAAAAACATATTCTCTGTGCTTCCTGATACTGGCTGCACTGAACTAGATAATTTATGTAAATGATGTCTCAAAATTTGGCCCAAATTATTACATAAAAATGTGGTGTACTATATAAATCAGCATCTTTATCACTGGTTTTGTGTACATAATAGTGGATATTAAATAAGTATGAATTCAAAGTGTAAAATTTAAAGGCAATTATTTCTTACCATTTTCAAATTTTTTCACATCCTCTCTCAAATTCTGAGACACTACTTGCAACAACAAGGCTTCAAACAATGTTACATTTATGGTTTTAGCATCCCTATATATAAACAGCGTTGTTGCAACCAACATAACAGTTGTGCTAGCTATCCAATGTGCGTTTGTGAAGTTCTGTAGGCCTGGTCATGAAATCCAGCAATGGCTGATATTATGTTTTACTGCTTTGTTACTGTTGCCAAGGGTTATTATTACATTATAAAGTTCATCTTCATAAGTTTGACTGATGGGGGTTTCCATAGGCTTATTTCTTGAGCTAACTTATAGCAAATTACCATAGTAAGGAAATCAGAGTAGAGGAAAATTGGCTCAGTGTAGGCCATTGGGCGATCTGAGGTAAAAGTCTTTTACATTAAAAGAAAAATCACAGTAAAAGTATGCAAGGCATCAACACACATTTTCATGATTAAGAATAATAACCTGAAATGTGTTGTCTGTATGTTGTGAACTTCTAGCAGTTTAAATTATGAATGAATTAAAAGATATTTCTAGAGCTGTGTGTAAATTAAAGCTGTTATTTTGCTTTCTGAGTATGTGTAGTTTTTTATTCTGAGGCTGTCTCTGAATCACAGCAGTAGATATGTGTGCATACTGCTCCAGTTCAGTATATAGTCGATATGTAAAGTGGGTTTCATCAGTATATGGTTATTCTGTAATTACATTAAAGCTTCAAGAAGATACTTTGGAAAGTCATCTATTAATGTAGGAGTAGTCACACAGGAAATATACACTGTGCAGGTCAGTTACAACTGTCACTTCTAGGAAGGATAGTGTTCAGTCTTGTGTATGCTCCCATTTCCCCCCACCCTTCCATCGCTTTACTACTGACAGTAGCATATATATCTTATTTCTGACTATTAAACATGTTTTATAACTTTCTGAGCCTCTCTGTGACTTCCTGGTTTGTGGTAGAACATTATTACCAGGTACTGAAGAGTACCAGTTTCAGTAACTGAAACCTTGGCGTGCCTACATGTAGTTTTCTTTATTTTCACATATTTTTAACAGCCAGTGCTTCATCTCTATATGCAATTGGTTTCACATCCTAAAAGTTATCTTCCTGTTACCTTGTATGATGAATAGTAAGATAAAATTATATAGGACCTGTCCTTAATTCAGTTTGTAGATCAAGAATGGTAAGACATCCATTATGACAGATGTTTTACTTTTTAACTTGAGCTTGAACAAATTTCCTATTTTGCAATTTTATTTTAAAAGGGCTAGAAGAGTTTGTGTTGTCCATTACATTGCTGCCAGAAGAACACCACCATGAAAATACCACTGCTTCATGTGTGCTGATGGTGTGGAGAGGTGCGTACCAAGGCTCGCCCTTTCTTACTGCTGGAAAATGTAAACCAGGTACCAACTTTGTGTCCCAGTGAGTGAGTTGACCCATGTGCTGGTTGTGGCCCACTAAGGCTGTGATGACTGGACCCTGCTTCTGACAGATTCATGCTATATCCGGAGTCCTGCTTATAGTTCTTACCTGAGAAAAGAAGCTCATATTATATTTGGGATTTTCTTAGTAGAGGATTGATTTTGTGGATATACAGTTTGAAGTTATGAGTCTAGCAGCTTCCTGGGTATGTCTTGATTACCTTCATGGAGTTCATACATTTCTGTGGACACCTTTCGGATGCCTGTATAAATACAGGATCAGATAGATCTCATCTTTGATATTTACATTTTACCCTGTACAGGATGACAAAGTTCTAGGATTAATTCTATAATATATGTGTGCTCCTTTTGTCTTCTTAAATGGAAGCTGTATCTCAATGGCAAAGTACCTATACACATCTTTGCTGGTGCACTAGGTTCATCTATAAACTGGTGTTGAACTTATGAAGCAGTACAACCTCTGCACAATATAACGTCAGTTGGTTTAACTTTATATACAATATTTTAATGAAACATGCAGGTTGTGTTAAATATCTTGATTAGTGTTCACAAATATTTTTACCATCTAACTTAGTTCAGCATTTTGTATGTTATGTGGAAGAAAATGCATTTTGGAAATACTTCAGTCTTCTGTAAGGGATACTTACTTCTGGGCTTGCTTGGTGGTCTTCTCTTGCAACGAGCAGCCATTCTTGCCAGTTGGCGAGCCGTCGGAGGGAATTCAAGACCATCTTGACGATCTTTAACTACAAGTCGACGTTCCTCTGCCATGGCCTGTAGCCATCGTTGCTTTTCTTCTGCTGACCGACAGCAAAATAGCAACCACTTGTCACGGATACAGCTGTATACTTTCAATCCATGCCTTACCATTACGCCTAACTGTGGATCTGAAAACATATTCCTTTCATGTAATTTAATTGTTATATGTTAGACAAGAGTTCTGTCTTTAATAAACTGCACTGTATGGTGTTTAAAGAACATAATATAACAGGCAGAAAATATTTCCAGTGCTTCCTTTAAGTCAGCAGGACAATATACCGTTTTAAGAGAAACAGAATAGAGTGGAACAGATTAGCTGTTGGTTAGTGCTAATCATGTAGATTTAATAGACAGGAACATGAAAGCCATAAAGAAAACAGTTGTCAAGATCCATGTTCATCTGAAACAGACTATGAATATGGCCATGTCTTGTAATATAGGACAACATCAGCTGGATCCACGATTAATCTATACCTCTGAGTTTGTTTATTGCTCCCTGTCCACACCATTATTCTCTTTGGCCCTCTCTCTCGGCAGTATTCTTTGCATGTTCTTCTCTTTATGCCTCTCTATTTCATTCTCTACCTCCATATGTACTACCTATCTTTGTTTATGTATGTCATCTGCACTTTATCCATTTGTCTCTTACCTATTATTGTTCTCTTTGCTCACATTCACTATCTGTCAATCTGTGCATATCTTCCCTACCTCATCTTTCCCTGTTTCCGTTTCTAAATGTCACTTGCTCTAAGCTCCACGTCCATGCTGCAGGTCACTTCCCCTTTTGCAAATTCTGAGCATCTTCAGTTACAGGCTGTTGTGCACAACAATGCAGTTCATGTTAATGCTCTGTCAATTTCCCCCTGCCAGCCTGTGTGTCACATATTTATTTTGATCTGCCTGTGTTCCTCTGTGTTTCCATCCTCACCCTCTGAATTGTTCACTTTCCAAGTCATTTCTTATGTTCATCTCCTTTAAATATCTCACAGTCTCACCTTTTCTCTTAAATTATTTGCCTCTCTGTCCACCTCCAAGTGACACTCTTTCTACGTCTTCTGTTCTTTACATCTCAGTTGGTGATGGAAGGGGAAGATGTTGGACAGTTGTACCAAATTGTGTGGAAGAAATAGTGAACTTCTTAAAATGGAATAACACTGTACAAAAGGCATATATTTCACTTTGAACACATTTTCTGTTTCTCACAATATTTTTGCAATATTTTAAATTTTTGTAAAGTGCATCCCTTCCTGGGATGTTTCTTCTGAAATGTGGGTGATGTACTCTTGAGTCATGCTTTCAGCACAACTACCATGTGCTGTCTCTTTGGTGTTCCCAGAGGAGAAAGTCAGAAGCAGTTAGGTCTGGTGCATGAGGAGACCAGGGCACATCATGGTTAATGTAATCCTATTTCGAATGAAAAGCTACCTCACTGTCCAATGCTCCATAGCAAACTGAAGTGCAAAGTCACTGCTATAATTATAAAAGGTTATCAACTCTGTCAAGTGTTTTTTTTCTCATTTTTAATCTTTCATGCTTTACATGCTGCGGTCTGAGAGACCATCTTCCGAAGGATATATCAGTACATACACACAATATTATTACAATGCCATGAATATAAATTCTGATCCTTTAAGAACTACAGCAATGTGCATGAATACATTAAAATATTGATAAATTATTATAATTTTAATCATTTATATATTATAATTTGTATTATTATATTATAATTTATAATAAATAAAAATTATAATATTTATTAATAGTGTGACAGGTGAACCCACTGCATAGAGAAGTGTCACTCCCTTGGTAAAGCATTGTCAAGACATTGTGCTGACAACCAGCATCTATTGCTAGTCAACAGCTAGCAATTCCTAGGCAATGAACAGACCTGCTAACAAATATTCTAGCTAACACGGGAAACAGAACTCTTTGACAAGGCGTTCTCTCGGCGGTACACTAAGATCCACTTAAGAGGGTAGACTGCGACAGAGCAGCTCAGATCCGATGAGAACCAGGAGCAAAGACACTCCACCGAAAACAGCAGTGCAAAAGAGGAAACGCAGAGAGATTATGGACTAATCAGGTCGCTTCATCTGAAAGGGCGTTTTTGAGTGATTGTAACTGTAATTGTAAATGAATAATTCTCCAATAAACAGCATCATCTAAAGCAGCAACCCACTAATTATTTGTTATGGAACCCTAGACACCTGACAATAATATATAAATATAATATAAATGTAAATTATTATAATTTATAAATATTTTAATACATTCATGCACATCACTGTAGTTGTTAAAAGGGTCAGATTTTATATTCATGGCATTGTGATGATATTGTATGTATGTCTGTATTGATTTATTCTTCTGATGATGGTCTCTCAGACTGAAACATGTCAAGAATGAAAGATTAAAAAGGAGAAAAAAAAATTGGTCACACTGGAAGCTATACAGAGAGGAAGAGAATCAGATGGGGAAAAAAGGAATAAGGGCAGATAAGAGACACAGAAAGCAGAAGAACTGAGAAAACAGAGACACACAGAGATCAGCAAGAAAACAGACGTGAGAAATGCAAGTAAATGAGACAGCGAACATATATAATTTTTACTGTCAATGCAACAATACTTTATTTATAAAGCACACACTAAATATTTCGACCTCAAATGGGTCATCTTCCGGTTCTGCAAGTTTCTGACATACTATTACCGAAACATGTAGTGCGTGCTATATATGTTTTTTATTGCTAGTGGGGTGGGACTAAGCCCCTTCTACTGCGGCCACTTCTGGCCTATTGTACCAGCCACAGATGATAGTTGAGGGTGATTGAGGAGCAATTGGTGGAATGAAGATTGGCAGGGGAAACCGAAGTACTCAGAGAAAACCACTTTGTCCACCAGAAATCCCACTTGACCAGACCCGGGATTGAACCCGGGCTGCCTCGGTGGGAGCCAACAACTAACTGCTTGAGGTATGGCGCGTGCATGCCATATAAATAAATAATAAAGTATTGTTGCATTGACAGTAAAAATTATATATGTTCATTGTATATATACAACAGGATACAATCCTTAAAAAATAGATGAGACAGCCTCTATCTCTCTAACTTGATGACATCCTCCACCCTCTTCAGCCCTTTGTGTCAGTCTTTCACCCTGTCTCTAGTGATCTGCACAGAAATGTATAGGCAGAGATATGTGGTCCCTCACTATCACTACCTCTCTCTTACAATCTATCTCTGCCAGTCTCTCTCCCTACATGTTCACTAAACTGTCTACTTTCAGCTTTTCATTCTGAGTTGCTCACTGTATGCCACAGACTCCCATATGCATGTATGTCATGCCCCACTCTTCCTGTCTGTCAACCTCACACACGTTCTTCATGCATCTTGCCAGCGGACTCATGGTCAGGTGCAAGATGCTGAATCTCTGTCGCAAGGACTTGTGTCCAAAATCTGCTCTATGGGTAACACTTCATACATGGGGGTTAGTTCTGAAAATTGTTGTATCAAACAACCAAAAAACAGGAAAAAATAAAACTGCAGATAATGAACGATCTGTACTTGTAGTCTAAGAATTCACGTTAACCTTTAAGTCCTCTCTGTATCCCAGGCAACCAGAGGCTGGGAAGACCACATGGAGTGGTACTTACCATTAGAATACATCACTAGACCTCTGTGTCCCCCCCCACCAATTTGTATCTCTGTATATATTGCTCTCTCCATGTGTCTACCCAAACCTTGATATCCCCTGTGCTACTTCATACTGGGAATGAGATGGGAAGACGGAAAGAGGTGGAGGCTGACAGAGCCTGGTATGAAGAAATGCTACTAAAATGCACATAAAGAGACAGAATGATAAACAGTGCTGATGTTCAGAGATACAGCAGGCAAAGAACTATATATGATGGAGAGCAAATGCAGGGCAAAGAGAGAGACATATAGAAAAAGACAGGTGGAATGTTGTGCGAAAGGGGACAATATCTTTAAGTCTCCAATGTCAAATCTTAAAAAAGAAAAAAGTTTAGGTGGTGATACTAAGTCAAAGATGGGTGGACAGATAGGCATGACAAGTACACGTGTTTTTTTTTTTTGGCTCTAATGGGGATGCCTAATGCACAATAAGTACAGGACATTTCTTCATAATGATAAACACCAGCAAAAGCTACTTCTAACTAAAAAAGACATGGCAAGAATTACTTTTTACTGAAAAGGGCAGTAGGTCTCAATTAAGGTTGTTACCAAGAGCAGCAATAACTTCTTCTTCTTCAGTATTTCTACTAGTAAGAACTGGCACTAATATGCAACTGCATGAGCAGAAGCAAAAACAGACAATTACGAGTAATATAAAGGTTAACAGAAGGAAGCAGGGAAGTCAGCAATGAGAAGGAAGCTCAGAAAGAGAAAATGTGAAAAGAGAATGAATGGTAGGAGACAAAAGGAAGGATGCAGTGACTGATTGACAGAATAATAACAATCTGGCGTTAGGAGTTACATTATATTTACTGCGTCTTATTAAACAGACATTTAATGTTTATCTGCCTGCATAACCATACCCTGGTTTTTAAATTATTAGATTATCTGGCAGACCATACCATTTCCTTAGTATTGCTCTGCATTGCCCTGCAGCAAACATGCAAAATGTATCTTTTACATTACATACTTGGAGAAATGTGTCCATAGACTTCAAACAACCATCTGGTATGGTAGACTTCAAAACAGTCACCAATACAAAGCACCACAGCAGGGTAAACTGAGTAAGAGATCACCACCTATAATAGTTTGTCTATCACTGCATGCCCATTCACTGTCATGGAAATGTGCCTAGGGACTTGCTCCCTAGTAATCGATGTCCTTCCAGTTTTGAGAACATAACCTTGGAAACATGTGTCATCTGTTGGCTATCTTTATGTCATGATTTGTCCTGCATTCTGATGACGAGACAGCAACATATACTTAGTTTTCTGTTTCTCATCCACCACTGCCCTGAGCAAACCTGCCCTATACATACTTCTAACACTCCAAGTACTCCAGCCAGGTGTGAGGGTTCTTGTGATGTTTTATAACAAGCTTATTTATTTTTTAAGGCAAGAAGTTGTTAGCCCTACACCCAACCCCCAAGCTGGAGGACCACCCCATGTTGGCTGTCTGCTACTGCTTATCCAATATATTCCCAGCTACCCTCCATATCTGGAGGCTGTCCCCTCCATCTGCAACCCGAGGACATGCCATGGTGACAAGGGACCCAGCCATCAGAGTGGCTATATAAAACCTGTAGTAGCAAACCATTAGCTCTTTATCATTAAAAGGAACAGTTGTTTCTTCACCTACCTATTGTATGAAAGGTACACTGAAGAGGAGGTACACTTACTGCAAGTTCAGAGTTCAAAGCACTATGAAACAGCCACTGTTCGTTACACTAAATGTAGCCCTATTAATTTCCCATATTTTAAAGATCATACAACAGAATGTATGAAAATACACAAAACTGAAGTAAAGGAATGTTCAATAATATCACGAAAGCCTGGTAGTTTTTTAACTTCATACATAGGTGCATGAATACGTTCTTAAAAATCTAGTTCATTCCGTCTTTCTAGCTTAAGAACTGCAGCAGTAAAATTTACTTTCCAACACTTATCATAGAAGTTCAAAAACTGTGTTTTAATACAGGCCAAGAGCAGAAATGGGAAATTTAAAAACCAGGCAGCTAAAGGCTAATTTTTCCTTACCTTTTCCATCTGGAACGTCAACGACTTCACTTGTGTCTAACTGTATCCGTCCTTTATATACATAAGTATTCCTCTTAAGGATGTCCTGCAAGAATGAACAGAAACAAATTCACACAACAATCTTCAAAATATTTAATGTATTTTATGTGCTTTTATTAACCTCTGCATCTACCACTTGATGGTGGCATTTGTATATTTTATTATGGAAAAATTCTTAACATTACTTAGCTTTCTGATTTATAAGATCAGTTGCATTCTTCTAAATCATATAAAGTGAATTTTCATATTTTTAAAATTTTAATGAAATGTACCTATGCTTCTTTAAGTGCCACACTATAAAGACATATGTGGGAAAAAGAGGTAAATTTCCAAACATTCTTAAACTCAGCACTAGATGAAGGTGAGCAGCCACCTTCCTGGTCAGGTCACTTTACTCCCAACAGAACACATCCCAATACCCATCTGATATAGTCGTATCGGTGAATAAGAAAATCCCACCTCCTTCCATGAACTGAATCCTGGTTGTCCACAGAGTAACCAGTCATACTGAGCTACACCAACTAATACAATTCCAATAAACATAATCATACTCAGTCCACCATATACCATCTCATTTATAATAATTTCCATCATCACTGTGCTTAAAAATTAATGAGAATTATGAAAACATTTTCAATGATAACATTCATATGCTTCATTTGTGCTGTCAGGCACTGGAATTGTACTTCCATCATCACAACCTATCCATATTAACATTATTGTCCATCCATGCTCTGACGTTTAAAGTGTCATCTCTTTACGTATCATGCCCAGCCAGTTTGAATCTTCTTGAAAAGTATGAAATTCTTCAGTCAATCCATCTGTCATGTAGTTCAAATACTTTCATTAGCACCTCATTTCAAAATACTCCTTACTTTATTTTTAACCAAGATTGAGACACCAAGTAAAATGTAAAGCAAAAGTTGCCCCTATGTTTAATAAAATATGAGGCTATGAAAATGTATGGGATCATAAGTTGATCACCTCCACCTACTGCTGAGATTAAGACCATGTCAAGTTTTACCTTTTATTTCAGAAAATGTATGTATGTCAAAGTATGCACTGTGACATCATCTGGCATTCCATCTGATCCTTCTAGCAAACAGAAGAATAGCCACAAGAAAATGCTAGAGCCCACTACACTCAGCTATAAATGCCAGTCACTTACCTTCTTACAATAGACAAGCTGGTGGTCAAAGAGGAAAAGTGTAATGTTATTGGTCCACATGCCAGTTGTGACCCTCACAACCTCTCCTTGATGGATCAATTGGGAACTGTGCTCAATCAAGTCTTCACCCTGTGACAGAAGTAACATATGACATATAGTGTCATAAAAATGCCAGTCTGCGATGGTCATGCATTTGGCTTTTAAACCTGGGAACCTTCTTGCAGTTCATCACCATCATTATAATCATAACAACAACAATAAAACTAATTCTGGGCAGTAATATGTCAAATTAAGCTTGCATCTGAATTCAATGCATCTATGCAACAATGTATGGCCCCTTGTCCAAAAGTTAAGTAACACACACCTACAATTCACAGCTTTGGCATATTCAGTGCAGTGCAGTGCAGTGTGAATCAATATTTTGAATCATATGCATTGACCATCCTGTCAATGGCAAGTAGGTTTATGTTCTATGAAATTTCCTTTCCTTCATATTCCTCTGACCTTTTCTTTTCTGAAGTAATGAATTCTGTTTCTTTTAAAAATGAAAATTAATCTGTGAAGTAGGAAATAACAAAAATGAGACTATATGGCAGTTTTAATTCTCAGATTTACAATACTACTTGCTTTCTACTGGAACCTAGGCAGAGAAGTATAAGCATTTTCATATTTTTAAAATAAATTAAAGAACAACAACAAAACACAAATCAATGAATAACATATCACCTAACTGATAACAGTCACTATGTTCCAAATTGGTAAGAATTTCACAAAGTCTTTAACACAGGTAAGTGAAGAGAAGTGTACTCCTGGTGAGACTTACATCTAGCAAGACATCTCAATGGCAAATCACTGGAGGACCAAACCAGATCTGCAATTTATAATGCCATAAAATCCTTTGAAATGAAGAAAGATAATTTTAATGTTTCTTTACATAACACTAAAATAACTGTGCTGCAATTGTACCAAAAAGTAAGGAATCTCTCTGTGAAATGTGCAAAGAGCATAGGTCTTAGCATCAGAGAGCTACAAGAAAGTATCAGCAAATAAAAATATAGTTGATCATATGGATAAATGCATAATTAGCAGAAAGAAAAACCTACATTATGAAAGTGTACAAATTCTGCAAAAAAAAAAAAAATGTTTCAAGCAGCAGGATGACTCTTTAAGAAAATCAGTCTGTTTTTTATTCAAGAAATGGAAGATTATACAAGATATTCTTACTGGGCATCAATGGTGGCATAAAGAGCAGTTTATCTTTGTTTCTTGAGGAAAAATAATTCTGGGGACAAAAAAGAACTATAATTTTCTATTGATGAAACTTGGTTTCATACACTCTATGCAGTTCACAGATGCTGGAAAGATAAAAATGCATGTATCAGAGGTGTACAACAACTGCAATGCCAGAAGTCAAAGTCACAATGAAATGGACACCATCAATTTCACAAAATGGGATAAGAAATCAGTTAATATCAGGACTACCACAAAGGAGAAATGTTGTTCCAGACAATGATCCTTACCACAATAAGCAGAACAACAAACCACCCTCAATAAATTCACTTAGGTGTGCTAAACAGCTGTGGCTATAAAGCAACATATAGTAGAGCATAGCTATCAGGAAATCTGAACTACTTGCGCTTTTAAAATGCAACTGTCCAGGAGCAGTGTTTTCAACTGATGAACTGTTGTGATAGAATGGGTTTACATGGAATATGTTAAAGAAGGACTGCAGAAAGAAATCTGGATAGAGTCTTTATGACAGTTAAGATCATTGAGTTTTTGGACTTTGCCCATTGGCTGGTATTCTAATGAACACTAAAGAACACAATGTTTTGGAAACTGGATCTGTTTCCATCCTAAGGTGGGGGGTGGAAGACACCTTCTCTGTTGGGTCCATTAGAAAAAGATAACCTCTATCAGTGGACAGGTCAGCTCTTTCTAACGGACTCAACAGAGTAGGTGTCTTCCACCCCCCCTCCCCCCACATTACGATGGAAAAAGATCCAGCTTCTAAAATAGTGTGTTCTTTATTGATCTTTAGAATACCGGGCAATGGGAAAAGTCCATAACCCCTGTAATCCTGAGTGCCATTCATCTCATCAAAACCCTTTAGAATCTACTTGTGTCTCTGTAAGTATAGTAAAATACTGAAAAAGCAGCCCTGTCTGATGAAAGCTCAACTGGTAGTGCTGACGAAACATCTGAATACATGATAGAGGGCACTGTGCCATTATAAGTAAGCTGGTAAGTCAGACACATGAAACATAACACCAAGTCCAAAGAGGTACTGCTCAGATCTGACAGTAATGCACTTGTGTGTTTCAGTAGTCGTAAGATACTGATGGTACCTATTTTCTTCCTTCTGGTTTCAAAACATCTGATTCCATCACCACTGTCCCAAGTAGGCTCAATGCTTTTTCAAGTTACAGTGGAACCTCGCTTAACGAGCACCTCGCATAATGAGCAAAACAAATTGTAAATAACTGACTCGCTTAACAAGCGACGTTTCGCATAACAAGTGACGAGAGGGGAAGTCCTGGATTGTGCGCTTGCTACATCAGTCTGTGTTTAGCACTTCTTCCGCTAGCATCTTAGTGTCGCTTGTGATCACATGTTTTTCCAAACTTGTGATTTTTTTTGTGCAAAGTTTAATAACCCTTGCAAAAATGTCCCTGAAGAAAGAGCCACAAAAAGACAGCCATAAGAGAATAAAAATAACTGTAGAAATGAAACGTAAAAACATTGAAAAGCGAGAACGAGGTGTGAGCGTGGCTGATCTAGCACGTACATACAGTCGGTCTACATCACCGATTTGCACTATCCTCAAGAACAAGGACAAGATTAAGGAGATAGATGCTTCAAAGGGAGTGACAAGACTATCTATGCAACAGTTATGTATTCTCGACGATGTTGAAAGGTTGCTCCTCATATGGATAAACGAAAAGCAATTGCAAGGCGACACTATTAATGAGAACATCATTTGTGAGAAGGTGAAAGTGATTTTCGTCAACCTCGTTAAGAAGACGCCAGGATCATCGATGGCCGAAGAAGAAGCATTTAAGGGAANCGATTTGAAAATTAAACCGCTGCTTGTTTACCATTCAGAAACTCCACGAGCCTTCAAGAAGTGTAAAGTCCTGAAGAGCAGGCTAAATGTAATGTGGAGGTCCAACACCAAGGCTTGGGTGACATGTGACCTTTTTACTGATTGGATCAATGAAGTGTCTGGTCCTTCTGTGAAAAAATATTTGCTTGAGATGAATCTGCCACTCCATCTCTTGCTTGTTATGGACAACGCTCCTGCCCATCCTCCAGACC